TCTGAATTGTCCCCTTCCCTAGCAAACCTTGTTATATTTTAGCCAACTAAAACAAACATATTTAATTTTTTTTCAAATATATAGATCATCAATAATAATCAAGATATCCGTAAAATGTAGTAAAGGTTCCAAATCATGATGTCATATGAAACCAATTTAAAATTGAACTCACAATTTGTGTTGGATTGAGCTAGGAAGATTAGTGATCAAGGAGGAAATTAAAGAGAGAATTTTTTTTATATTTGTGAAGGATAGTTTTCATTCACTGTTCTTAATTTTCCTTGATTTGGTTTGATAATTCAAATGGCTAGAATACATGGGGTATTTATAGTAAAACTCCTACATGCATCTAGTCTACTTCTTATGTGGACATACTAATTATGTTCACATAAGTTCACACATTACATAAATAAGTTCACACCCTAGTACATGTATGTAGCTATTAATCTAGTTCATGAACTAATGTGAACTAGTGTGGACTAGTATAGACAAGTTTGAACATATGCGAACAAGTCTAGACAAATGTGGACATATGTGAACTAATATGGACAAATGGGGACAAGACAATACATTAATTTTAACACTCCCCCTAAATGTTTTGTTCTTGGACTCCCAAAAGCTCACGAAATTTGATGAACTTTTGGGTAGCGCCTTGGTAAAAATGTCCGCAACTTGATCCTCGGACTTGCAAAACTTTGGCTCGATCACTCCTTCTTCAACTTTTTTGCTGATGAAGTGATACTTCACTGCCATGTGCCTTGTTCTGCTACTGTAAATTGGATTCTTTGCCATTGCTATGGTTGACTTGTTGTCACAAAACAACTTTGTTGCGTTGTCTTGCTTTTCTCCAACATCTTCTAAAATTCTTCTAAGCCAGACTGCTTGAGAAGTTGCAATTGCTGCTGAAATATATTCAGCTTCTGCTGATGATTGTGCTACTATTTCTTGCTTCTTTGATTGCCAAGAAAATGCTCCGGATCCAAGTGAAAATACAAAACCAGATGTGCTTTTCATGTCATCCTTTGAACCTGCCCAATCACTGTCACAAAATCCAATTAAAGTTAATTCTTCACTCTTAAAATATTTGATGCCATAAGCCAAGGTTCTTTTGATGTAACTAAGAACTTGTTTGGCTGCTCCAAGGTGAATATGACTCGGACTTTGCATAAACCTTGACAACAAACTAGTAGCAAACATTATATCGGGCCTCATAGCCGTTAGATATATCAAACTACCAATGATACTTCTGTAAAGAGTGCTGTCCACTTTTCTTCCACCATCATTTTTCATCAGCTTCTCATTTGAAGTGAGTGGTGTTGGTACTGCTTTGCACCCAAACATATTAAACTTTCTAAGCATTGCTTCAGCATAGCTTTGTTGAGAAACAAATACTCCATCATCCTCTTGAGTAACTTCAGGACCAAGAAAATGATGCAATAGACCCAAATCACTCATTTCATATCTTTTCATCATGTCTTTTTTAAACTCAGTAACTGCAGCCTTATTGTTACCGGTAAAAATCAGATCATCAACATAAATCGCAACAATAAGAATAGAGTTACCTTGCTTCTTGACATAGAGAATAGGCTCGCTTTTGCTTTTAATGAACCCACTTTGCAAGAAGTACTTATCAAATTGACTGTACCATTGTCGGGGTGCTTGTTTCAATCCGTACAAGGCCTTCTTGAGCTTGTATACTTTATCTTCTTCTCCTTTAATCACAAAGCCATCAGGTTGATGAACATAAATTTCTTCTTCAAGTTCACCATTCAAAAAAGCTGATTTCACATCAAGTTGATATAATAACCATCCTTTTTGTGCTGCTAATGCAATAAGTGTCCGAATTGTATCTTTGCGGGATACCGGTGCAAAAGTTTCGTGATAATCAACATTATCTTGTTGTGAATACCCTTTTGAAACCAATCTTGCTTTGTGCTTCACTACTATGTTTTTTGTAGCCTCATTATTTTCCCAATTCCTACTAGCTCCTTCATCAAACAACACATCTGTGCTTGTGATGACATTTTTCCTCTTCACGCTAATAGCCCTTTGATTTTGAGTTATAGCCAACAAATATGCACTTCTCACTTGTTTCATCAAGCTTGCTCCTCTTTTCTTTCGGGATTTGAGCATAGCAAATGCACCCAAAAACTTTCAAGTGCTTCACTGAAGGTTTCCTCTTGCTCCAAGCTTCCAAGGGGGTCTTATTTTGTACTGCCTTGGTCGGACACCTGTTTATCAAGTATACCGCCGTATACACTGGTTCAGCCCAAAAAGTATTTGGCATTCCTTTCTCTTTTAACATAGTTTTTGCCATTTCAACAACCGTTTGATTTTTTCTTTCGGATACACCATTTTGTTGTGGTGTGTACCCAACGGTTAATTGCCTTTCAATGCCTTCATCCTCACAAAATTTCTCAAATTATTTTGAGGTATATTCTTTACCTCTATCACTTCTTAGTACCTTTATATATTTTCCACTTTGTTTTTTCACAAGGCTCTTGAATTTTTTTAAAAATGCCATACACCTCGGATTTTGTTTCATAAAATAAACCCAAGTCATTCGTGTATAGTCATCAATGAACAAGATAAAATACTTGTTACCTCCAAGAGATGTGGTACTAATTGGACCGCACACATCGGTATGGACCAGCTCCAAAGCTTTGTTTGCTCTCCAAGCTCCGCCTTGAGGGAATGAATTTCTATGGTGTTTTCCCATAGCACATCCTTCACAGACTCCATCCTTTTCTTCAATTTTTGGCAGCCCATATACCATTTCTTTTTCCTGCAATAATTTCATTCCATTAAAGTACAAGTTCCCTAGACTTTTGTGCCATAGCCGGGATTCATCTTTCATTTGTGCTTTCATGGCTACTTCTCCCCCATAATTGAAGGTTAATGAGAAGCTTCTTCCTTTTTCTATCATTGCTTTTGCCATCAATTTGTTTCCTCCTTTTTTTATCATAAATTGTGCAACAATTATTTTCAAAATAGACAGCATATCCATTTTCCACCAGCTGCCCAACACTCAATAAATTTTTATCTAAATCTGGAACCAAAAGTATATCATGGATGAACTTTGTACCTTCCTTTGTTTGGACGTGGATTGAGCCCTTTCCAATTGCTCGAACAACGACACCATTTCCCATTTTTCACTTCGGCCTTCACTTTGTCATCCACACTTGTAAAAATACTTTTGTTTTCGGACATATAATTGCTGCACCCGCAATCCAACAGCCAAATATTGTAATTTTTCTCTTTGGCCATTTGACGGCTTGCAAAGAACATGCGTTGATCTCCTTTTTCTTCAGAGACTTTTGCTTGTTGTTGATTCTTGAATCTACAATCCTTCTCCACATGACCAAACTTTTTGCAGTGGTTGCATTGGGCTTTCCTTGAAACCAACAATCCTTGTCAATGTGGTTGCCTCTTTTGCAAATTCCACATTTTTGTTTTGAGTTGTTGGAGCTGTTTCCTCGTTGATTTCTTCCTCCGCCACGGCCTGATTTGCCTCCTTTTGATGATTCTCCTTGTGATTTTGTGGACACATTGAGCTTAGATTGTAAAGCACTCTCAATAAATTTTTTGGAGTGTCTTAACAACCTTTGCTCGTGTGCTTGTAGTGATGCCATCAACTCACTGATCTTCAACTTTGCGATGTCCTTAGTCTCCTCAATAATAGAGACTATGGGATCATATTTTTCAGTCAAACTTATCAAGATCTTTTCCACAATTTTCTTATCTTCAACGGCTTTTCCATACAATAGCATTTGATTTGCTATTTCAACAGCTTTGCAGCAATATTCTTTTAAACTTTCTCCATCTTTCATCTTCAAGTTTTCAAACTCACATCTTAGAGTTTGAAGCTTGATGTTTCGTACACGTGTATCTCCTTGAAATTCCTCGCGTAGAGCCTCCCAAGCCTCATTTGATGTTGTGCTCTCATGATTCTTGGAAAGATGAATTCACTCATTGCTTGTTGAATATAAGCAAGAGCTTTTGCATATCTCCTTTTTGTCTCATTTAATGTTCTTGTTTCTGCATCTGTGAGTTCTGCTCCTTCTTCTGGTTCATTATAACCATTTTGAACCAGTTCCCACAGATCTTGTGCTTGAAATACTATTTTAGCTTTCAAGTACCAAAAATCATAATTTTCTCCATTGAACATAGGAATGGATAGTTGAGCCACTCCTTGTCCATTAGTTAAAGCCATTGCTTAGCTTTTCTTAACGCCCAACTTTTTAATCGACCGGGCTCTGATACCAATCTGTTGGATTGAGGTAGGAAGATTAGTGATCAAAGAGGAAATCAAAGAGAGAATCTTTTTCATATTTGTGAAGGATAGTTTTCATTCACTTTTCTTAATTTTCCTTGATTTGGTTTGATAATTCAAATGGCTAGAATACATGGGGTATTTATAGTAAAACTCCTACATGCATCTAGTCTACTTCTTATGTGGACATACTAATTATGTTCATATAAGTTCACACATTACATAAATAAGTTCACACCCTAGTACATGTATGTAGCTACTAATCTAGTTCATGAACTAATGTGATCTAGTGTGGACTAGTGTAGACAAATTTGAACATATGTGAACAAGTCTAGACAAATGTGGACATATGTGAACTAATTGGACAAATGGGAACAAGACAATACAATAATTTTAACAATTTGGAATAATTTGGTTTACCCTATAGCTTGCGCATCGACATTCATCCTTGCTTGGTGAGTATGTCGTCTCTCTATCTCGCCCATTTATATAAGCTGAGGAGTAATAAGAGTAAGAGCAATCGGTTGAATGATTGATATTCTACTTACTCTTATAATATTTTCGTCGAAATAGAACAAATCTTAATACTCTATTTTTTATCTAAACCCGAAAAAACCCACATCTTTATAGATTGGGACTAGAATTGGTGCAAGTATAAGCTTTAGGAACAAAAATGAACAGGAGTAAATCTTTGTGGACGACATAAAAAGTTTCTAAACTTGAATAGAAAGCATTAGTATTCTCAACATCATGACTAGTTTGGAAGAAAATTCCACATGCAATAAGATCCCTTGCGGGTTCTTATTTAATTTATCCCACTAAGACCGTCCCAATTTAATACTACTACTAGTGGAAACCTTTTCTTCAATTAGAAAAACAAAAAGAAAGGATAAGATGGGTAATGTCTATGTTCCTCCTAACTTGTATCCAACTTTTGCCTTTTAATTCTGATCCTTTGAATGACAACATAACTTTTTAGGCAATTAAAGTAATGGCGTAAAGTCCAAAGTCTTACAAACTCTAAATCTTCAACTTCCTGTCCCACTCTTACACGTCCCCTACCCTTTTCTCCCTCAAATGAACAACTCCGCCACCGCCGGAGCTGCCATTAAACGCCGAAAGAATCATTATCATCAGTCCTTGATTCCTGGACTTCCTGATGATATAGCTCAAATTTGCCTCTCTCTTGTACAACAACCTTTGACTCTTTACTCCGTTTGTCAATCTTGGCGCCGGCTCCTTTATTCTCCTTCTTTTCCCCCCTTTTTATCTATCTACTCGTTATTGAAACCTTCACAATCTAAGGAGAAAACAAATCAATATGAGCATTCTGTCGAATTCGCCAACTTCGATCCGATTTCATCCAAATGGCACTTACTTCCTCCTCCACCGCTTGAACCGCCTCTTCGTCTCCTCCTTCGTCACCCTTCTTTCATCTCCCGTCACCTTCCGATCCAATGGGTGAGCGTTTCTGGCAAATTCGTTCTCCTTGCTGCAACCACTGACCATCTACTGCCGGCCTTATCTCGGCCCCTTGTTTTCAATCCACTCAGCCGAAAATGGACTTACGGTCCCCCACTCGCCACACCGCGACGGTGGTGTGCTGCTGGTGCGTCACGCGGCGTCGTTTACGTTGCTAGTGGGATTGGTTCCCACTACAACCAAGAGGTAGCGCGATCGGTTGAGAAGTGGGACCTGAAAGGTAACAACAGCTATTGTTACTGCGCCCACTACAGCTGTAACCACCATCACGATAAAGACAAGGGTACTAAAAGTGGATGGAAATGGGAGAAAATGGGCGGTCTTAAGGATGGGAAGTTTAGTAGGGAAGCGATTGAAGCAGTGTGTTGGAGAGGAAAGCTGTGTATGGTGAACGTGAAAGGCAATGCTGCAAAGGAAGGAATCATCTACGACGTTGAAAAGGACACGTGGCAGGAGATGCCGGAGGGGATGCTAGTGGGTTGGAGAGGTCCGGCGGCGGCGATGGAGGAGGAAATTATTTACATGGTGGATGAATCTAAAGGAGCATTAAGAAAGTATTATCCAGGAAATGACAGTTGGGTGGAGGTTTTGGAGAATGAGATGCTTAAAGGTTCACAACATATGGCGGCTGCCGGCGGTAGAGTGTGCGTGGTTCGCTGCGGCGGTGATGGTATCGCGGTTGTGGATGTGGTGGCCAAGCCGCCGAGTTTGGCGGTGGTGGAAACTCCATTGGGGTTTCAGGTTTTGGACCTACATATTTTGCCAAGAATGAGCCAACTGGATTCTGAATCACAATGAGATCACGAATATTGAATAGTTATTGTTTTCTTGTATTTCCAAATTATTCATTCTTTTCAGGTAAATTTTGGATACTTGTCGACTTTTTTCGTTGGTTCTTTTTTCTTTTTCTTTTGGTGGGGAAAAAAATATATGTATACAATTTAACACAAATTCTCACCATAGAACAATATGAAAATCTTTTGAGGTTCATTTAGATATGTTGAAAAAGTAAATCTAGTGGTACCGGAGGCTGAAGCGATATATAGATTCAACTATTCAACTGAACCAAATACTTTTAGTATTTAGTATAAATTTAAAAATTTATTGAAACTCACTACAACAATTATGGTCTAACCCACACTAGTTTTAGGTAACGCCTGAAAAGTGTGCCCAAAAATATATTTGGGCACACTTTTAAGGGGTGGCCTTTGTATGGAGCTTTTGGCTACGGAAATTTGGCTACGCTTGTAAAATGTGCTCTTTAATTTATTAGGCCACACTTATTAAACGTTGCTAAATTATAAAATAATTGGCAACATTTACTTGAGTATGTGGCACTCTTTTTAAGCGTGCTCTTATTATAATTGGAAAAGCAACACTTTATAAATGTGCTCTAAAAGTCCAACAAAATATTTGGCTAAAATATAATATTCCCTCCAAAAAATATAATGTTCCTTCCGATATACTCTAGGTAAAATATTATTTTTTTCAATTTCAAAAGGACAAAAAGATCTCTCTCCATCGCTAACATCTCTGTGGATACATTAGTTAGGGTTTCTGGCTTCAATTGTGGATACTGAATCTTCAGGATTAGGTACTGTCAATTTCTGCACCGGAAAGATTAGGTACTCTTAATTTCTGCACCTTCTCATCCTACTTTAGGTAGTGTTTTTGTTTTCAAAGTATCATCTCAAATGAAGAATTCCGTTTTCCCTTTCTCTTAGGTATTGTTTTTCACCTTCTCGCCCTCCTCGTTCCAGATTGAAGAAATTTATAAAGCTAGAGAAACGGGAATTCTTCTAATTCAGGTTGGTGCTGTTCTATTTCAATATTTTACCATCTTATGGTCTCTGATTGCTGTAGTTTCATATCTAATTTGATACTTATTCCAGAAAAGAATGAACTATAAATTAATTATTCCTCTTCTAGTCTCCAAGATTAGTGATTTGTTTTAAAATCCTAGCAGATTTTTGAGCCTAATTCTACAAATCGGCTTTGTTATCTTTTGATTGTCATATTCCTGTTGATTAATCTGACGTACAATACGTCTTAGGCTGATTTGTTCTTTTACCATGTTAGTCGCGCCTCAGAATACCAGAAGTGTCTGGTACAGCATTCATTCTTTTGAATATTTGAGATTTCTTAGAGATATATTGGGGGGGGGGGGGGCGGAGGAAGGTGTAGGGGTTGTAATAATAAGTTTATGAAATCTTTTTGTTCTGGTGTTACAAAATATTGCAAACTCTGTTGCAGATTCATAAACGCGAAGGCCATAACATCGAAATGATTTCCTTCAATATTAGTTTCCACATCTTCTCTAGTTTATACATTTTGCACACCTTGAGCTTCAGATTTTTGTGCAACAACTACCTTCCATTGCCCAGCTCTTTTATCAATAGCTGGTCGATTCTCAAACTTAGATGTTGTACACCAATAACTTGAAACCTGCTTATTGCGCATGTCCACTGCCTCCTCAATTGAGGTATATGATCCATGGTCTGATTCTTCATCACTATCTTCCAGGTTGTTCTCAAATTCCTCCTCTTTATCGTGTTCACGTTGAGCATCACATGTTTGACGATCGTTTGTCACAATTTTGTTGCTCATTAGACATCATCTTATTTGTAGAGTGTGCTTGAGATAATGCATCCATACTTTTCTCTACACGTTTGTCTGTTGATAGAAGTTGTTGCCCAGAATTAATCTCTTGTTCTCCACATGACTCCATGGATTGGGAAGGAACCTCCTGCACAGACTTATTCAGTGTAACCATTAGCTGCTTGATCTTAGGAATAGAATCTCTCAAAAAGGTTGCCTGGGGTTCCTTAACGAGTTTAGCAACTTGTGGATTGGAAAATTGCAGTGTTGGTATAGCTTCATTATATTCTTGTGCATTAAGAGCGTCAAATAAACAAATTCCGCCCCTAATTTATTCAATTGCTGCTGCTGCTGCATCGCACTGCCTGCATTCAGAGCTTCAGCATTTTTCAAAACCCCTAGTGCAGCCTGCTCCATTCCAGTTGTGATTTGATTATCTACATACCATGCCTTTGAACATGTAGAAGCCGCAAACTCGATGGCCATAACATCGAAATGATTTCCTTCAATATTAATTTCCACATCTTCTCCAGTTTTTACATTTTGCACACCTTGAGCTTCAGATTTTTGTGCAGCAACTACCTTCCATTGCCCAGCTCTTTTATCAATAGTTGGTCGATTCTCAAACTTAGATGTTGTAGCATTTGTCCACTCCAAAGACTCGTCATGTTTATACCCCTCACCATTCACAGTGACATCTTTGAAGCCTGCTCCTTTACCAACTTGTTCAGTAGTAGCATTAGTAGGTCCACAACCTCCTGTAACTGTCACCATAGGATCCAGATCTGTTCTATCAACAGTGGGGGTCAATGGAACAATAGTTTTCCAAGTATCATTATTTGATTGCAAACCTCCAGCCGAGTTTTCCATTTTGTCCAATCTAGATGCTGTAGCATTTTGTTTCTCTAAATCCTCAACACTTACAGGTTCATGTCCCTCAGCAGTCACAGTATCAACATCATAAACTACTGCATCAGGTTGTTCAGTTGTAGCAATACTAGGTCAATCACCTTGTGCTGTTGTCACAATAACACTGCCATGACCTCCTTCATTCCACACCCTATTTCCTGCTCCAATAACCATAGGTTTAGACATCCTAGCTAATGCATGAGCTACAGGAACAGTATTAACAGCATTGTTGAAGCACTGTGCATCAGCAGGACTATTAACTTTTGGTCCAGCTGTTGTTGCTGCCTCGATTTCACCTTGTAAAGTTAATACCTGCTGCTGCCCACTATCATTCAAATTACTGCCATTCCCTCTATCAATCAACACCCTATTTCCTGCATCTCGAACCTTAGCTTGAGACAACCTAGTTAGAGCACGATCTACAGGAGCAATAACATCATTCTTTGCTATAACTGAGTTGTTCAAAATCTACTGCTGCCCATTATTTTTGGTATCTTCTGTATTTAACTCCATTGTTTGGCTAGCTCTTTTTGCATTCAGATAGTCCCTAGCATCACCTCGAAGTGTTTCAATGACTGGACCAGCTGCCTCGACCATTAGAAGACCATCTTGAGACGTAACCCCTGTTGCTTCCTCTGCCATCGCCTCTGTTACAACTTGTTCTTTCATAATTCGACACACCTTGTCGTCATGTCCTTGATGCTTGCAATAAGTGCAATATTTAGGAAGATTGTCGTACACTACCTCCTGGTAATGCACGATTATTTTACCCGAAATTCTGTCCACAATCTGAAGCTTAACCTTCTTAGGATGTTTGTCGAGCAGATCAAGAATCACCTTGACCCTAGCAGCACTAGGTAGTGTTCTTTCTTGCGTCGCCTTATCCACAGCAAGAGCCTTACCAACAGCTGAAGCAATACACATTAAAGACCTCTTAGCGAAGAATGGTATACTCCCCTTCCTCTTAACAGAATTTATTTTAATATGTTTTTTTTAAAATTTCGCTTCACTTAAAAAAAAAGCGAGAGCTTCGCTTTTCGCTTTAAGCGAAATGGGGGTTGTCACTTTTCCTCGCTTCACGCTCTTCACAACACTTATGATCCTTTAAATTTACAACAAGGGATCAATCTGGTAATTCTGATGAGTATTGTTAAATTTGCAGCCAACATATATGAAAAGAAGTTTTAGCTGTACCGTTTTGATCAAAGTATCAATTTAACAACCTTGAGTGAACTACACTAATTTGGTATTGGATTGTCAACCAAAGTTTTCACTTTTAGTTGACTTGGTTTGATATAATTCCGCATCAAGAAAATCTGGGATATCAATGTGGACCAAAAACAATGACATCATGAAAAGAGAAACAAAATGTGATCAAATTATTAGATACTACACAAATAGCATAACAGATTCTTTGATCTGATATTTTGAACCAAAAATGTAAAACCAGTTGTAAAGCTTATTCTTTGCTAATTTTCAGTGAAAAATTCAAATATAAAAGGGAGACACAAATAAACACCAAACTAAAGAATGACATCCAAACATTCATTTTTTGGCAAGCTAAGATCTTGTCTTCTTAGATTCTTTATATGTTCTACAATTTAGGTATGTGTAGATACCTTTTTTTTTTGTTGCAAATTGACATGGTCAACAATATATCTTTTTTATTGCGTTAATTTCCTTCGATTATGTGCGACTCGATTGATTTTAAGCTTTCCATGTCAACTACTATGGTGGCTATATTCAAGCTTAGAACCTGTTCCATTTCGATATTATGTAATATCTTGTTATTTTGTGATTGTTTTGTAAAACATATGTATCTCTCACTGGGAAGCTTAAGATTTTGTTGTGAGAAGGTTAATATTAGCTCATATGAATAAAAAGTATATTGGATAAGAGTTAGCGTTGTGTTTGAGTAATTTGGTAAAACTTACATTCTGAATTCTAATTTGGAGTATGCATGATCTAGGATACATATGTGGGTTGTGTTTGCGTTGTGTTTTCCACAACCAACCCAATAAAAACCAGGCTTTGATGGGTGGGTTTGTTTGTTCCTGAATAATATCCTTATTTCTGGTAGTTGATATGTTTTCCTTCCTTAATCCTAGCAATTTGGTTGGTAGTTATTAGATGCAGAATGGTTGATATTCTTAGGATGCAGTGATTGCCCCCTGGCAATTTGATTGTGGAAATGAACTAAAATTTTCATGTAAAATGATTATTTTTTGAGTACAAGAGTTCATAGATCTTAGTTATTTATGGTTGCAAATTGTTCTGTCAAAATGTAATGCGGTAAATTGTTCTATCAAAGTTACCTTTTAGTAATTTTAAAATATGACTAGTTCTGGAGTTTCTTCTTTTGAGTTGAAGAAATCAGAAATAGCTAGTTAGATTTTTGTATCTTAACTTCTTTTAATTATATAATATTTGTACGAACAAAACACCTTTTAGGTGTCACTATACTTGCCAAAGTGCACATGAAACTTTTTGGTGCGCAGAACTATTATATTATCTTCATGAAAAACTTGGTTTAGAATTTTATTACTTTCTGTCTTTGTTTTGTAGATCCTAATTTTACCTTTTTTTATCCAAGAAGATAATTCACGCTCGGGAAGATTTGTGGTGGACTTAAAGTTGTATTTGGCTTAGCTTAAGTGTCATGTCTAGGTAAGAAAGTCCTATCATTTTACAACACATGATTTTACAGATTTATTCTTGACATTTAGGATTTAGTTTTACCATATAATTAATGCTTAAATGATTATATATTTGAAGATCTAATAAATTTTATTTTTAGGAATTCAAATGTTCCATCCAAGGAATGGATGGATTTACCAAGGTATAGCAAAGAGTATATCGAGGGTGTTCAATCTTTCTTAGATTTTGCTTACTCTTATGGAGATCCTCAAGGCGAAGAAATTCAATGCCCATGTGCAAAGTGTTGTAATATTTGTTAGACTCGAAGGAATGTAGTGTATGACCATCTAATATGTTATGGGTTTGTTCAAGGTTATACAAGATGGATTAATCATGGGGAATGGGAAATTTCGATGAATGCTAATTGTGACATGGATGATAATGTTTACTCGTACGATGATATTGATGGGTTGTTGAATGATCAATTTAGAAATGTTGCACATGCTGGAGGAGTGTATGAAGGCCCAAATGAAGATGCCAATAAATTCTATAACTTAGTTGACGAGGCAAGCCAAGAACTATATCCTGGTTGTAAAGGATTCTCTAGATTATCTTTTACAATCTGTCTGTATTTGTTGAAGTGTCTACATGGATGGAGCAATGC